TATATAATATATATATATATATATATATTATGCTGAGTTACATATATGTAAATAAACATTTTATAACTATTATGTTTTGTTCATGTTTCCTCATCCTATCTTTTCATAAACTAGATACACATTTATATCAACAATACGTAACGTTTCTGCTATTTCCTGCAAAGATTTAAGTATCTAGTGTAGAGATATCGCTTTGTTGTTCTGAAATTTGGGCTTTTAATTGAGAATTTTCTTCTCTTAGTTGATTTACGACCTGTCGAAGAGTCTTGACTTCTTCTATCAATGTCGCGCTTTCATCTAAACTTTGAGTTAGTTTTTCTGGAGCTTCTCTCAATTCTGTAATATATTCACATGCTCGTGCTAATATACCCCCTTTGCTCTGTAAATAAATTTGTATTATTATTATTATAACAAATAATATGTTATACAATTTTATAATATAAAAGAGAAATTATTAAAATAGATATTGATTTACGAATATCATACTTGTAGTTCAAAATTCGTTTTTGTATCTCCCTCCTTCTTCATATTTTCATCACAGTCTGCTAAGAGCTTTCCCAATTTGGAAATCCAATTGCTAATTTTGTCTCTTCTACGCCTTTCAACTTCATTGTGTGTTACTCTTCGTTTTTCGTCTCTCTAAATGTAAATGTTATCTCTAAACAGAAAAGAAACGATAACAAAAGATATACCAATAACATCAAGTGATTTACCTTATTTACAGTTGTCACAATATTTTGTGATCCTTCTATGTGCAATTTAGCTACGCTGGGTACAACTGTTGTGGTAGATTCTGATGTTACTACATCGTTACCATTACTGAGCACATATAACTGTCCGTTTAATGGAGAAGTTAAAACCTGGACAGTATTACTGACATTGCCGGTTATCGAAAGCTCATTGTCCTCACTATGATTGTTGGTGACACGCATCACTTTGTATGCCACTGCATTATCATTCCTGTTTACTGCATATAGATGATACTGTACATTATCATCCTCAATTTCTCCGTCAACATCACAGTCTACTAGCTCAGCTTCTTCCAAAACCACACCAACAGCCTCATCGGTTATTACATTATCATCTGCGCTATAACATAAGAGTTTACATGAGAGTATTCCGTTGTTAGGAACAAAAATATAATAATATAACAAAATATAGATAACTTGTTTTTATAAAGGATATAGAAAAAGTTAAAACCAATATAAACAAATAAGGATGTAAGAAATTAAATTTATTCTTTTACAAGCAGAAATATAGTATAAATAATAAAAGAATATGTAAGAATATGTTTACAATATAAATATTATGTGCAAAGTTATATTTTTATAAAGAATATTCATACCTTTCGTCAACAGTATCAAAATGATCAACAGGCTCCATTTCAATAAACGTCAATCAGTACTTTTGCAATCATGAATTTGGCATATGACACATTGATATGCTGACTGAATTATATCGAGATAATATCACAAACCGGTGTTTTTGGAGTAGTTTACAAGCTTTACTTGAAAGCTCGCTGCATGCCCTCATCAACGCCCTCTCAGTTATATTACAGGAGACTGGACTTGTTTTTTTTTTTGCTACACTGAACCACACTAAAACTTTTTTCTTGCTCTTTTGCTAAACTTCAAATACATATTTATTTCATTTTAAATATACACTGATTCAACTATAATAAAAAAAAAAAAATATAAAAAAAAAACAGATCCAAGAAATAGCCAAGCCTGTTCTTTTAATTGAACTTCTTGAATATTTCATCTTTTCTCTTTTTTCCTCCAACACAGAAAAAAAAAGAAAAATTAACTGTGCAAGAAGTTTAGCTAAAAGAAATAAATCTTTAAATGTTTGATTTTAGATGAACTTTCTGCACTGGTATGAGAAATGTACACTGAAACTGCGTACTGATCAGACCTTTGTACACCACTAGTATTAAATCTATAGTTCCTGTCACACGTATTATAGATTTTCATTACTGATAATATCGGCCTTGAAGCCTAGAGTCCTATATAAGGCTCTCTATTGAAGCCTGTTCTTTTTTGATAAAAATAATATCAGATTGCTCAGATATCCTTTTCAAAGTAACAAGAGTACTTAATTTACAAGATTTGTTCATAATCTCTATAAAATCTTGATCAAGTATCAACATTTAATACGATCAACGTACTGTAAAGAAAACACACAGCTCTGTTTTCAAAAGAAATTATATAAATTATATATTTTGCAAATTGTAATTAATCTGTCTCATCCTCATATAAAAATATTAAGCTATTAAAAAATAAAGTCTACGAGATATTTTATTTTTTAAAATGTAAAAATATGCCGGAATAAAATAATCTCGTAAAGTACTGATCTTTTGGTAACTTTATCTGTTTAATATACAAAATAACTAGAAATATAAAAATTTTTATCCGAGATTTCTCTTTTACGTTAGGAATTTTTACACCTGTTTTTATTAAAATGAAACACTGTGTGTAACATTAAAATACCTAAAGAAATATCATTTAATGAAGCATCGTAGCATTCAAACTTTATGCTTTATGCATTTGTATCAGAAGCAATAAATTTTATTAAAAATTGATTCTTCAATTACAGTACAAGTACCTAAAAATCCTTTTATTAATTTGAGTATGTTATTCTTTAAAGGATCGGCGAAGGAAGAGAGAGAGAGAGAGAGAGAGAGAGAGAAGGAGAAAGAAATACAAAAGATTCGATAATGTTATTCAATATATTGTAATTTTATTAACAAAA